TGAGATCGGAAATTCTTTCAGCTATTCAAATCTTTTTTCAAATTTATTCTAGCTATTATGATCATGCAATAATTGCAACTAGACGCATTTATATGTCGCCGGGAGCCAAAGGGTTAAGGCGCTGAATTATTCTTTATTTTGGTGTAGAAAAATCGTATCTCATCAAAATAAATCGAAAGAAAATAGAAGAAATGGTGTTCATCTTTACGCGCGAATCTACTTTAAAAGTAGAGCCAAAGTAATGATGCTTACACACGAATAAAAACTATTTTTGTCTGAATTTCCCTGTTTGAAATTTTATGCTACGTTAAATTAGGATTATTCAACGACTTTTTATATGTATATATAAATAAACATGTATCTCTGACTTTGACAAGAGTTCGTACGTTTCATGTTTCATTTAACTTTTCAATAAAACGTTGTGTTGGAAAATCGCCGATGAAATTTTGTTGAAACAGTGAACGGTTCATAACTGAGTCTATCCATTTATTTAGGGGAAACGTCAAGCACGATCGCAGACAGTAGAAGAATATCATCATTACTATTATGCTACCAAAGCAGCTAATGATACCGAAACATCAGCTCAGATGATAGTTGAATTTCGACTGCATTTTTCTATTGATTGCCTTCAGCTGATTTGTCAAACCGGCACAGTACAAACAGTAACAACTAAAACGTTAATTGTCATTCGATTTGAAGAGGACCTATGTAAGTATAGGTGGCGTCCGTGATTCTCAGACGACATTTAATTTTTCTTCACCAGACTTCTTATTCTTCCCGTATTCGGTTGAGCGATGCAATTTGTTCGAAGACCTCAATTTACATAGTTGGCTTTGCTTTTCTGTTTGTTTGCGAGAAGTTATTTCCTCTTCACAGGGCCTTTACTGACAGGACTTTCCGGCATTTTTAAACACTATAAACAGCGTGCTTATGCCAATTGTAGCTTTCTAAGAATGAAATATGATATTTAAGAAGTTATTATTCCTTTCTCCTTTTATAGTTATAACCTTCTTCAGTTCAACAACATCAAGCGACGGTAGTCGTGGTAATACAACCCCAACAGTGCCAAACACATCACCAACTGCAACTGTTAGAAATCAGCCAGACCACCTGTCATCGGTCTCGCGCAAAGCTGGAGGCGGTGGTAACGGTAATGGTGATCAAAACCCAACATCAACTCTCAATAATGAGCCACACCATCGGTTATCGACCTCGCGTAAAGCTGGAGGCGGTGGTAATGGTAATGGTGATCAAAATCCAACATCAACTCTCAGTAATGAGCCACACCACCGGTTATCGACCTCGCGTAAAGCTGGAGGCGGTGGTAATGGTAATGGTGATCAAAATCCAACATCAACTCTCAATAATGAGCCACACCATCTCTCATCGACCTCGCGTAAAGCG